AGTGCCGCTGGAGGCCATGGAGCCTGCCGGGGTGGGGGAGGGGCCTTAGGCCCCTCCCCCCTGCAACTCAGCCAAGAGCAAACACCTATTGCACTACAACAGTAACTGTGTTGAAAACAAATGGTAATATGAGTGTTTCTCCCTTGGCATTTGCACTGTTGGGGGGCAGCAGCAGTTCAATGTTTTTTGCATTTCCTCCTCAAATACTAGGAAAAATATCTGAATATATCATATGCAGTAGCATTTCTGAGGTTTCTTTGCCTGCAGTACTCAGATACTGCTTGTGCACTTTGGGTTTTCAGTACTTCTTCCGCATGCTTTTCCTGGGGAAACTCTGCTGCTGCATATAAGAATTTGTCTGGAGAAGGTGGAGAAGTCTCCATCAGAGACCACTGAAAGTGTCCACGAGATTGGACACTATGTGCACTGTAGTTACTTGCTTGACGAATGGACCAAATAGTCAGTGTAGTTACTGCATTGCCACTGAGCAAAAGCAGAAATAAGCATAGTCCAAGTGCAGAAAGTGGAGAACTTCTGCATGTGGGTAGAGAATGAACATTCATCTTAAGCAGTATGCAAAAATCCCATTCTTCCTCACAGACTTAAAGGGCTACAAGAAACTTAGAACTCTATTACATTTTTTCTAGTGGCAAGGTGAAGAAACTCTGCATTTACCTACGAGCTACTGTCTGCAAATGAAGATGCCATCAGTTGCCACATTGTCAACACAGCCCTTATTTCCAGCCCCTGAACAAAACCTGATCTCTCAGGCAGCCCACCTGGAAGAGTGCTAGAAGCAGCAGAACTAATCCAGAAGGAAAAAAGTAATGCACAACCATGTTCACACACACACACACACACACACACAAAAGGCCAACAACTGGCAGGAGGAAGGACTCGGCAGACCTCGTATCACAGGCGACTGTGGATCAAAACCCTCCCCCAAACCCTGACTGCATCCATGTGCTAATTACGTGACCCTGAAAAGATACATCACTGGGCACCGTAGCAGCTACCAATTACAACAACATCCAGCCTCTTCCAAAATTCTCACACACAACCTATAAATACTGTTCGCCTTTTATTGAATATTCAGGTAAATATTTCACATTAATACAGGCTACATAAAGTAGAGCCACTATACGACATGAAATTTACTCAGCTTTTCTTTTTAAGTATGTAAACAATTATACGTGTATTTACCACCCTAAAAGGTTGAAATCATGTAATCAGCTAGCTCTGTTGCATACAAGGAGCATTCAGTAGTGTTTAGCCAAAAGCACTAGTTTGTCTGATTTTTAAGTCCAAAATGGCTAAACTAACCGGAGAACAGAATCAGTTTGTATCAGTAAATCAATTTGTTCTTCTACAATGGGCAATCAAGTTTCCATTGTTACAGCCCACAGAAAATTGCTTAGTTAGGCACATTAAAAAAATCCCCAGGGTTCTTCAAGATCATAAAGATTCCCAAACAAGGCTAAAGAAGGATAGACCCCCTTAAATCAGTTGACGTACTTGAGATGCATGTTTCCAATGTGAGGTGCCCAGGTGCCAGGCCAAATCTACAGCAAGAAATAAAAAGACAAGTCTATTATGAAAACAAATAAAGGTTCCTTTAACAGAGTGTTTAACCACTAGAGGGCAAGCTTAAGGCTTCCTCCTAAAATACAACCAGATTGTCCAAAGGCTGGGAGCCCTCTTCAGCTCTGGCCAAGGTTTGACTGACAACCTGCAAGATGCTGAGTGTGGATATAAACCCTCTCACTTATAACAAAGTTGATTACCTGGCTAAGCAGTCTTGAAATGCTGCTTACTTTACCTGAAAGGTTTGGTACAGATAGCGCCACATATTTTGTATAAAACACACGCACACTGTAAGGGAAAAGTCATGCAAACGATCTCAACTCTAGTATCAAAGAACCGAAAAAAATGTCACCTATCCAAAAAATAAAGAAAAAAAAAACAAAGCACAACACTGTAAAAAGTCCCAGGTAAGCAAAGGTGGAAAAAGGCAGCCACACTACCTGCTGAGCATCAGTACATTCTGTTGAGTTCTGGACAACTTTGATCATGGGATTCCAGGCGGGATCTGGAGTATGGAGCCCGTTAAAGAGAGGGCCTCCTGGGCCATCCGCTAGCTGAGGGTGTGAGGGTATTAGAGTGCCGCCATACATGGAAATCGGTAGGCCCTGAGGGAACAAGAGAAAGCACCACCGGTGAAGGCAGCTGTGGTTATGAAGGATGACTGTAGTATCATGTTTGCCAAGGTGCCAGAGGCAGTTCACATCCATAT